ATCAATCAACAAGTATTTATTTTCTGCTTAAGGTCTTGCCCAGGGCTTTAAGAAGCATATCAGGGTATTACTAATGAAGTTTCTTAGTCCTGTTTCAAATGGTATTGATTATCTAGCTGGAGAGGGAAAATTCTCACATGAATTAGATAACAAGTGTTTTTCTGCTGAGTGTATGAGCCTCTTGAGGGCAGTGGCTCTGTTATCCTTGAATCCCTGTGTTCAAAGGTGCTCATAAAGTGGTGCATGGGTGACTGGATGGACTTAAGAACAAATGTTATATTAGGAAGCTGAACATTGTATGTTTCTCATTTTAGTTTTCAAAACCAAAAGTTAATATTATTTCTGACTCTCCATGCCTCTCTATGTGCTGCCTCTTCCAGAAAACAAAAATCCTAAGAGGTTAAGTGATTAGCTCAAGGTCTTATAGCTATCAGGTGGCCAGGATGAATAAATGACAGGTTGATAAATGGCAGCTCAGTGATGAGGAAGAATTTGTATTCACTGTCATGTGACTAGCCCATGACCAAGAAGGACATCACCTTTCACCTTTCCTGCTCAGCCCTTTGAAGGTCTTTTTTTTTTTAAGTTATAAATGGACACAATACCTTTATTTTATTTATTTATTTTATGTGGTGCTAAGGATCAAACCCAATGCCTCACATATGCTAGGCGAGCACTGTACCGTTGGTGAACCATAACCCAGCCTTGGAGAGATCTTCTGTGTTTAGTAACCTATCATCCCCTTCTCTCTGGGTATAGGTTGGCTATCAAGCAGGGAGCAATGGCCAGCCCCTTCCCTCGCAGTACATGAATGATCTGGACAGCGCCTTGGTGCCAGTGATCCATGGAGGGGCCTGCCAGCTCAGTGAGGGCCCTGTCGTCATGGAACTCATCTTTTATATTCTGGAAAACATCGCATAGGCAAAGAGGACTTCATTTTTTCTGTTCAGACCTGTGGCAACAGCAGTCATATCCAAATCATTTGCACTTTAAAACTGGAAGATTAAGCTTTTGTTAACACTATTAATGGGGGTGGGTGGGATAGGGTGGGAGTGAGGGGACTTGGGGAGACAAGGGTGGGAAAGGGTGGTTGGGGGGACAGATGTTCTATAACTCTAAGTCTTCTATGCATTGTCCACCGAGAAGACCTGAACAGCTTCTGTTACTGCACAACAGTTATGCTATCTTGCAGCTAATCCCCTTCTGTTACATCTAGACAAGAATCCCACTCCTCTCTTTTAAGATTACTTATGGTCATAAGCTCAGAAATGTTGAAATGGGTACAACCATCACCAATGGTGCGGTGGTGGGAGGGCAGAGGGGAAATAAACAATGAAGCATCAGTTTTGCACTCTTTTTACAGAATTGGTATAAAAAGGAAAATTCCACACTGATCTTGTCCCAGTTACATCATAGGTGTTTGTCAGATAGAAGTCACACTTAGATTTTTGTTTATTTTCACCAGATTACTCATTGAAATTAATCAAAGACCAAAGGGATTATCTCCTTTTGTAGCCATGGAGGGCTCCTGGGTGTAAGTGAAGTTACTTGGATAGCAGAGCTGAATTCAGGATCACTTGAGATTTGCCCAGGTGAATGGTAGATATTAAACTGGGCCTTTCTGTGGAAGTCAACCAAACATACATCAAGACAGCTTTAGTTACTATGTACTATAAGTATTTTTCATTTTATTGCAAACTCTTTTTAACTTCCAGGAAAGCTACAAGTACAAAACCCCACTATGTACACTTTACCCAGATTCACTTAACTGTTCACATATTAACATTTTGTCCTATTTGCTTTATTATGTCCTGTTATCCCTTCCCCTTCCCTTCCTCTTCCTTGTTCTCCCTCCTGCCCATTTCCTCCTCCAATAAAAAGATAAGATAAATTGAGGCCCCAGGGTGTGGTGGCTCATGCCTGTGATCCCAGTAGCTGGGGAAGCTGAGACAGAGGATTGCAAGTTCAAAGCCAGCCTCAGCAGTTTAGTGAGGCCTTAAGCAACAGCCAGAACCTGTCTCAAAATAAAAATGAAAAGGTCTGGGGATGTGGCTCAGTGGTTAAGCACTCCTGGGTTCAATCCCTGGTACCAAAAAAAAAAAAAAAAAAAAATTGAGGCCTTTCAGAGTACATTCATACATCATAGCCCATTACCCCTAAATACTTCAATATTTCCTCAACATTCTGTTACATAACTGCAGAACAGTTTTCAATTTGGGTCAAGTTCATATTGATCTATTATTTTAACTTAGTATTTTCCCAGTAACTACCTTTGTAGTGTTTTCCCCTCTAGTAAATCTTCCAGCATAGGTTTAGGGAGGGCATGTAGCTATCAATGACTTGCCTTTATCTTTCATGTCATTGGTATTTTTGGTGAAAATAGGCTGTCCTATCATATTTTTTAATGGAAAAATACCTCATTTTGAGTTTGATATTTCCTTGAATCAGTTTGTGTTTGTGCATTCTTGGCCATGATCACTATCTGATATCTGCCTGCCTCTCATTGATGGTGGTAAAGCTAATCAAAGTGTTATCCAATTTCTCCACTATTAATTTTTCCCTTTGAAACTAATAACAAGTATGTAGAGAGACACTTTCAGACCATGCAGATTTCTTGCTCATCAAATTGTCCTCTTAGACTTAAAACCCACTTTTTTCCTACCCGTACTGACTGGTCTTTTACTGTAACAAATAGTTGCAAAGTGACTCTCTAATTCTAGCACGTACTCTACCTTTACAATTTCAATTTGGTAATCTAAACAGAAGCCTTTCCTCTTCCCTACTTATTATTTAATTTTCATTATGGTCTCATGGATTGTGTTTTCAGTGGTTCCAATTCATTAATTTGGTGCTTAAATGGTCTTAGCTTTGTCCAAATGGAGCACCTTCAGGCTGGGTCCTACATCCTTGTGACATACTCCTACTATTTTTTTAAACACTTTCTTTTCTAGCCTAACAGGATGCTCCAGGCTAGTTTAGTTTTGTACTTACTCTGCCCCAGAATTGGAATCAGCCATTTCTCCAAGACCCTTGGTTTCTTTTAATGGGAGTGATATTAGAAACCAAGGTCTGGTTTAACTAGAATATATGTGACACATTCTGATCATTTTCTTTTGTCAAAAATTTATTATGGTTACAGACCAAATGGATTCCACAACCCATACTCTGAAATATACTGCTCAGGGGCTAGGGTTATAGCTCAGTGGTAGAGTGCTTACCTAGCATGTGGTAGGCATTGTGTTCAATTCTCAGCACCATATAAAAATAAACAAAAGGTTGTTTTTGTTTTTTTAAAGTACTGCTTTAAGACATTCCATTGTCACCAGCATCTTCTGAAAGCCCAGGCCACGCTGAGTTAGTCTGTCTACAGCAAAAGTATAGCTCTAAGAATGCATCAGATCCAACGCAGGAGAGGCTGCTCCTCAGTGGCTGGAGTTGGACTTACCATTTGGCACTAACAGATTGTGAAGCTGTTTAGTAGATAATGTTACCAATAGGCCCACAGGCCAGGCTTGGGAAATGTGTCTGGCTGGGGTCTTCTCTTTCTTCACGGGATAGGGTGGGGGTTTTGTCCATATCTCTCCTCAAAAGCTTTGCCAATAGAAGCTACAGAGAATTATGAGGTCCTTTCCCATAAATTCAGAGTTATGGAGCTTCTAAAGTACACCTTGGCTCCCACACCACCAGCTTGTATGGACTGAGCCCTGGAATTAACCCCCAAACTTGACAAGAACAAGAAGCACTTGTTAAAGGGGCAGGTGTGTTTGGTATTAAGGTCCAGCTTGATCTAAATATACCTCAGAAGTTTGGAGCTTCTATAGCAACTGGTCCTATTTTCCTGTAGCTCATCTCTGTTTCCGTTCACCTAAATACATCCTGCCATTGCATATTAATTCTAGATCAGCGCAAGCTTTTCAGTTCTCTTATTAAAGATAAGACTATGGCCCTGTATAGTCGGGTCCATTCTCAACTACACTAAATGTCCTTTTACGTGCAATAAAATCACCTTGTGGAATTCAGTATTAAAAAACCAAGGCTAGTTTTCCCCTTGTTTATCTTTGGTGTTATACAATGTGTACTCTTTAAGAATTACATAAAATGAAGTGCTGAAACATCACATTTCTGATTAGGCAAAATTTTCTAGATTATAAAGACAGATCACACACACACACATCCCTATACCTCTAATCCCAGCTACTTGGGAGGCTAAGGCAGTAAGGTTCCAAGTTCAAGGCCAGCCTTGTCAAGATAGTAAGATTGTCTCAAAATAAATTAAAAGGGCTGGGGTGTAGCTTGGTAGAGGGCTCCTGGGTCCAAATCACCAGTGGTGAGGGCTGACATAGTGTTCATTCTAAACTGACGAGGAACAGAATTGCCATTCCAGTGATTGATTAAATTTTAAAAAATTGTTGAATGCTCGCCAAATACCAGGCAATGAAGGTTTCTCCATTTGTTCTTAATACTTTCTGAGCAGCAACTGCACTCTAGGGTGGTACAGATATAGAATTTTGCCTAAATTCCTATTCTCCTGTCTTCTCCCATTTACATTGATTTTTGCTGAGGGGCCCCAAATTTCCAATTAAATTTACCTCTATGATCATCTGGGAAATAATTTATGCACTTAATTCATTCCAATAAGCAGGTTTCTGGATTTGGCTAATTTATAATAGTAATTTGTTTTACTAATGCTACAATAATAATTTAAATAATAGTAATAGAATTTCTAGGGATTATATATACAGAAGGACTAAGGAGTAGAGCAGTAGTGATCATGGCCATCTCAGACCTTAGAAGGCTGAGCCCAGAGAAGAGAAGAATTCATCTATGTGGTGGTGCTGGACCAGGTACAAATTCCCTAGGACCCACTAGTCTCAACTCTGTGTATGTTTCAAACTGCATCTGACCTTACTTGAAGGATAAGATCTTTTGGGAGATGCCACAGATATTTGGAAGCAAACATGCAGATTTCAGAATTGTGCTATGATAAAGGAAAAATAATGTTTCAGTCACAAAAGAGTTCATCTTTTAATAGTGAGACTCAGTCTAAAAAATGTCTTCCACATTTTATTCAGTTCACTAATTCAGAACAAAGTGCACACTACACTAGATTAAAGATTCAATTTAAAATTGGAAAATGATTTGAGTCATGGTTGGTTCTCATCCCATGAGTGACTAATTTTCAGTGTTTGGTTATCGCTTTTGGACAAATCTTAGGACAAGCAGGAACTGTGTAGGTCCCTCCTACTATCTATGCATGCCTTGGCTACAACAAAGGCCTTTTAAGAATCACAGCCAGCAAGCCCAGTGGGTGTCTTTGTCTTGCCTCCCTCAGTCTTAAGGTTCTGTTTTCCAAAGAACAGAGTAGTGAAGCCTACTGAAATTGAACATGTTGCAAAGGTAAATCTTTGGAGCCAGCAGAGGCCTGGGTTCAGAATCTTAAAGGATAATTTTAGTGGTCTATCCTTCACCCTCTTGTAAGTACTGGGTGGGAATGCAAACCCTAAGGGAAAAACCAGGCTGGATCAGGAACCCTTCAGGCTTGTCCAGACCATGTTAAGAAGGCTTAAGACTCTCCTTTTCATTCTAGATTACTGCTTGTTTGACACATATGTAATTAAGTGTTAAATTTCTCTGGAAATTTTGCTAGCTCACATCTGATAGGTAAGAAAGACTGGCCAGAGAGCTCTTGGAAGAGTCACTCGTCTGTAGTTCCTACTGTTATCCACTAAAAGCTCTGCTCTCTTCGGCAGGGAAGCATGGCCCAGCCCTGTTAGCTCAACAAAAACACATACAAAAAAGCGCAATCCCTGAGCTGTGCTTATGCAATAACATAATGACCAGTAATCTGAATGTATTTGCTTCAACTTACAGCCTTTTAAAAATAATCTTGAGGAATGCTTTGTTGGACTTAATGCTTCAAAAAGGAGGAAATAAAAGATGGGGTATTTATTTCTAAGTAATGTAGAATATTGCAGTTTTGAATATTAAATATATTACAACTATAAACCCCTTATTGTTTCCATCCATTCAGAAAAACAAAGCCAAAGGCAAATTTCTTGGAAAGAACTAAGGTGTGGCTCTGGCGATCAGCTGAGAGGAAAGGCTTCCCCAGTCTTCTCTCAAATATGAAACCCATGGTGGCAGTGGGCAAATGTTGCAGTTACTCTGGCTTTTTAACAATGCCAGATTTAAGATTATTTACGCTGTGTGTAAGGTACAAAATCCCTATAATGAATTAGACCTAGTTTATTAAATAAAAAATGGCTACATAAATTTATACATATTTATATTTTTTTTTCCTCCTTCTCCCCAGTTAACAAGTCTTTCATCTTAGGTGCATGGACCAAACCCAAGATGCAACCTTACCCCGCTCCTTCCCACTAGGCAGTACCAAAAGTAACTTTCCTCTTCTACTAAGTCCTTTGGGAGCAGGAAGGCTAGTGCAGCAGCTGTCAGGACAAAGGCACAGGCAGAGCTGGGTGAACTGGGTTGGGTGGGACAGGTTGCCACGGACCAACTGGAGTCACGGAACCATGCCCTGTCCTGAGCAGGACTGGTTCCTGATCACCCTCAAGTTCTCCCATCCCTTAAGCAGTTACATCTTTAAAAGGCACATCCAGAAATAGTGCAATTGGGGCTGGGGTAAGCTGCACACAGTTGGTATGCAGAAGTTAAGGGGCTGTGGGACTCCATGGCACAGAGTGGTGAGGGTATCCTTGCCTTTGTCCACTTTTGGAGGAGTGGGAGACAAGGGGAAGAGGAGCTCCTGGAATCCAGCCTGCTTCTGTGGAGGGCAGGAGGGGCCAGCAAGAGCAAAGCCCAGGGTCATGGTCAGTGGCGCACATATGCAACAGGCCTTTGGTGTGTGTATAGCAGCTTCTCTCTTAAGTACAAAGGCTTTTGAGGCCAGTGAAGCCTTAAGCTCCTGCATGCTGCCGCTGGCCTGATCCTCTCCTGGAGCTGACCATCTGCCGCACAGGACACAGAGCGTAGCAAGTCAGTCTAAACCACAGTGAAAACCAATGGATTTTAGTAAGGCTTTCTTAAAGACAGTTAAGCCTTGGACTATTACCTTCCCTTCCCAGTTCTGGACAGAGGAATGTAAGAAACTCAGTCCATGGGCCCTACCCAACAGATCTGCCTCTTCCCCACAGATATGAAACTCCTGGGATTCTCCCCCAGATAAATAGGTTGAGCAAGAGAAGGGGGTCTATGGGATGCTGGCAGGGTGCAGGGGGGCAGAGGTTCTGAGGATCCCAAGAGCTGCGCACCTCACAGGCCCCTGGGCTCCAGGACCAGCCAGTTCTCGGTGACCATCTGCACGTCCTGGCCATTCAAAGGCTCCCGCAGCCTTACCTTCACCTCCAGCTTCCCCCCGGTGGGCTTTCTTCCGTCCAGAACCTATGAAGACCATGGAGAGGGAAATGGTAATTGAGGAAACAGCTGGGGGCAGACAGGTCCCTAAGGTCCCAGAAAGGGGGTGAGAGGAGCTAAGCATCCTACAGTGTTATCCAGGGAGCCTCCGGGTCAGGACACCCCTGCCTCGTGCTGTGTGTGGAAGTTGTTTCAGGGATATCTTACAAGGAAGCAATATATAAAACTAAATAAACATCAATGCTCCAGCTGAAAAGATCAAAACCTGGGGCTCTACTCACTCAGTTTTCCCCTCATTCCCCATAGCCACTCCTGGAGTAACACTGGCTTCATGGAGTATCCTGAAAACCAGAGCCCAGCCCTCACCTCACAGATGGCCAAGAGAGAAATGAATGACTCTGTGTAGCAGAGTCAAGACTAGAACCCTGACCAGTGCTTCCTCCTTTAGGGCAGGAGAGCAGGCAGCTGGAATGCAAAGCACCACAATAGGCCTGAGAAGTTCAACCACCTTCAGTGGGGCTGATACTGACCAGGCCCTACTTTAGAACAACTCCCACAGGTAGAGGGGAGGTACGCCGCAAAAGGAAAAGCCCCAGCCTACACAGGCATCAGTAAGGATAAGGTCTGCTCCCAGCTCTGTCCAGGACACTGTGTGAACCAATGTAACCCTTTTCTTCTCCAGCCTAAGTTCCCCATCTGTCTTAAGCTCTTAAGAGTCCTTGACTGTGTAATCCTATGAGTTCATGGATGCTTAAGGAGCTACCTAGAAGTTGATTTCCTAAGCAGAGACTAGCTGCATCCAAGTGGGTCTTAGACCCAGAAATACCATAATGATTTCAGACCTGGAGCCTGTTTCACTTCATCTTGCTGTCAGACAATTGCCCCAATCATAAGCCTGCCCCTAGGAACCTAGGAATCCATATGCTAAGATGACAGGATTGATCAGACTCAAGGGTCTTCTCTCTCATCCATCACCTCTGGGAACCCGAGTGATCTAGAGTATTGTGGAAAGTGTATGGCTTCTTCCTATCTGGCTGACCATAAACTGTCTCAGACCTTCTGAATCTCTTCCATCTATGAAATGGGGATACCACAAATTCCACAGATACAATGGACAATATTAAATTAAGGGAACAGAAATCTATAATAGGCTTTCTTCTTACAAGTTCTCCAGCTTGTTCATGCCCTGGGCCCTACCTCCACAATCTCTCTGATCTCACACTCATTCTCCAACCGCTCCAGTTTCAGATGTGCTGTGCCAACCAGCTTGTCACTTCGGAAGAAGGATCTAAGGAGCCAAGAGGCAGCAGAGGATTAGACTGAGCAGAGAAGATGGGAATGAACTGGATGAGTCTACTGCAGGCAAAATAAGTAATAGCAGAGGTAGTGGGAACCAAAACGCCATTCCTTCCTCCCCACCCACTTTGCCATGTAACTGATAGGAGGAGCCTTACCCTTTGTGGAAGATTTCAAACTTGATTCCTTTGCTCTGGATCACTCTCCTGAAGCCCCGGTGGTTTCGGTTGATGTTTAATTTAAAGACTTGATCAAATTCTGCAAAAGAGGAGAAGGCAAGGAGGGGCTTGGCTCCTAGGAATTTACTGAAAAAGTAGAAAAGGGCAGGCTTTCCCTCTGGATCTCTTTGCCTTTAATTCAGGGTGGCTGCCATCAGGGGGTAGGGTAGAGCATCTAGGTCCTAGCCTTGGAAGCCAATAGTTTTTATACTCTACTTGAATTATTATTTTTTAAAATATTTTTTTTTAGTTGTAGTTGGACACAATACCTTTATTTTATTTATTTATTTTTACATGGTGCTAAAGATCTAACCCAGCACCTCACAAGTGCCAGGCGAACGCTCTACTGCTGAGCCACAACCCCAGCCCCACTCTACTTGAATTATATCAAAGTAGAATGAACTTGGAATTTGGAGTAAGGATTTCTGGGTTCACTATTTCTACTACCTCCTTGTTATGAGGCCCTAGGCAAATCTCCCTACCCTAGTGAGCCTCAGTTTCCCCAATGACCTAAGAGGAATGTTGCTAATATCTGCCTTTATCTCCCAAGCTGGGTGGACCAAGTAAGACAATAGATTTGAAAGCACTCTGGAAACACATGTGCTGCCCACATAGAAAGTAAGGGGGGAAAGAAAGAGGCTTTAATCAGCACTCACCTGGAGAATTTGTGTTCTTCACCACAGATGTTTTGCTTTTTTGAGCCTGGTCCTAAATAGTGAGAAGGAAAAAGTCAGCACAGCTTGAAAAACAAGTACACAGCACCAAGAACTCCGGGCTGAATCCTGTAAGGAATGGACTAGGTCTTCAAACCCCTCCCCATAGCCAGATCCCCAAGGGATGGAGAGAAATTGAACAGAGCTCTAAAGGGAGAATGGTTCAGAGGATCCTAACAGCCTCACCGAGTTAGGATAGTGAAACTCAAACCGCACAAAAGCATCCAAATCATCAGGGGTCACCCCTGTGAGGAGAGAAGGCAGTGGGTCGGAGGAGTGGCCAGAAGCTGAATGCCTGAGATGGAAGCTCTGGCAAAGAGCCTCCTTGAGTAGAGGTGGTTCTGTGATTACCTGGAGGGGCTGGGAGGTTCATTCCCCGGACAATGATCAGATGCATTTCTGTGCTGTTGAGTTCTGAGAAGATCCTATAGCCAAGGAGAACGGAGAGATCACAAAGTAAAGGAGAGTGGCAGAACAAGGTCACCTCTTCCAGTGTCTGCTTGCTCAACTAAGAGGGAACCAGAAGAGTGGTGGGAGGAAAAGCCTATCTTGCTGGAAGGAGCAGAGTTAGCATAAAGACCTGGTCTCTGACTTCTGGTCCGGGGCTCTTTCCACAGTCACTACACAGTTCAGCTCTTCCCTGGAAGGCACCACACCCTCCTCAATGGCCCCACTGCCTGTGGCACTCAAGTCTCACTAAGGAAGAGTCTCCAGCCTCAGCTCCCAACCTCTTGCCACTGTTCCCCTTAGGCTTTGGCACTTCACAGTCCCTACACAGAGCCACTGTTCCCCTCAGGCTTTGGCACCTCACAGTCTGGAATGTCTTCATCTCAAAGTGGTGGCTGGGAGGGTCAAGGCCCTGAGCCTGGGCTAGCTGCAGGATCTCCAGTTGTTTCTTACGGTCCTGAGCCAGCTTCTCAAACCTGACAGGGAAGGGCATACACATCAGCAGAGGAAGGCTCACTGTCTGCCCCCTACCCAAGCCCCCTAAGCCCTTGCACTTACCGGGTTGTCTCAGTCACATTGCCCTGGTGCATGAACTGCTTGGAGAACAGCAGGCACTTCTAAAAATAAGGGCCCAGAGTGACTCCAGAGCCAGAACAGGACTTGCCTAAGCTGGCATGCAAGGCCTGACTTCACAAAGCTCCAACCTTTCCCATGTAGCCTCACCTCTCCTCCTCCACACATGCCTCAAGGTCACTGTTCCCAAGTCCCACCATACTTTTCTGACTACACTTCTGCTGTTTCCTCTCCTGAGGACAGCCACTCCCCAAAATTCACTTAGCAAACTTTTGTCCTTCCCTTAAAACCTAATTCAACATCACATTAGAAAGTAGACTTCTCAGAATAGTCAGCAGTTCTAATAGATATATTGAAACAAAAACATATAGCTCTCCCCTCCCATCTAAAACTTCATCCCTTCAAACTTGAACTTCATAATCACCCTCAAGGAAAGTTATTATCATCCCCTTAAAGATGAGAGAAACATGGTTCAGAGAGGTCAAAAGTGCCTTGCCACAGGCCACAAAGCCAGTAAGCAACAGAGCCAGAATCTGAATCCATGACAACCTGTTCCGTACCCCATGCCTTTCTCCATAGGGAGGTTGTGCATACTGAAAGAGAAGGAAGAAATAAAAGGCCTACTGACCTCATATTGCTCCAGAAGTATTTTTTGTAGCTGGGCATATACCTCCTCAGCCTTCTGGGAGAGTCTTAGGTCCTCATGGTGGATGAGGATGAAGTCACCCTCTTCATCCGTCAAAGGTGAAGGCACCTACCCAGGTCACAAGGTCCCGCAGGCCCCAAGAGTCAGATTACTCTCCTATTGAGCCCAACAAATTCAGAAATTCAAACTAAATGTTTCTTCAACTTCTACTAACCTCAGTGCCAGGAGCCCATTGCTTTCCTGTGTCTGCCTCAGGCTGCTGGAGCACTCTGCTCCCACTGGCCTGGCCTGGCCTTGTCACTGGGGACCACAGCAGCCCACCCTCTCTTTCCCTGTCTTTCCTGGGGCCTCAAGGGAGAAAGAGGCATGAGCTGAAGGCTCTTTCCCAGCTGTTACTATATCTATACCAATCCCTACCTCCTCTCAAAGTTGCCTGGCAAGTCAGCCATCCTCTCCTTCACCTGGGAAGACCTAGTGCTTAACTACGTAGGACTCACCTTTGAGAGGTCAACAGGTCGGCCAGCTCGGACCTGGATGATCTGCCCCTCAAGGCATTTGGCCACCCGCAGATGGGCTTTGGCCTGCTCCAGGTCCTGCCTCCGCTTGGCCTGCAGGGCTGCTCGCTGGTACTGTAGTTTCCGTGCCTCCAGCAGTGTCAGCTGTTCCTGAACTGAAGAGAAAGAGCCAATGGTTAGGACCACACCAGCCCTTCACTAGGCCCTCCACCCCTCCCCATACTGCTTGTTCCACTCACCAGTTGGACTCAGTGCCTCCTTAGAACTCAAGGCCTTGGGCTCAGGAAGGTGCCGGGATGAAGGAACCAGAGGCTGTGCTGGCTTCTTGGCCACTGGGGCCTGTCCTAGGGGCTCAGTCTACAGGTGCACAGAACGCTGTCACAGGGGGTACGTTCCCCACCCTGATCATGGCAACTCCCAGACCTGGGCTCTCTTCCTAATATTATAATAACCCTGTATGACCTGAGACAAGTGGCTTTCCCTCTTGGCCCTACAAAAGCTCAGAGCTAGAAAAAGCTTCAAAAGTTCTCTGGTCTAACATCCCTGACAGGAAACAGTAGGACAATGGGATTTTGAAGCTGAACTCTGAGTCAAAAACACCTAGGTTTGAATCCTAGCTTTGCTCTTATTCAGGTTTTTTGTCTACAATGGAGGAAAGGATACCTACCTCCCTGGGCTTGTTAGTATGAATAACATGGTCTGAGTTTACCCCTCATCTGTCATATCCACCCCCAACCCAGGGAGCCCTGGGCCTGCAGTCAAACCTTATCCTCATCCTCATCTTCTACTGGGGCTGTATCCTCTGAGGTGGCCAGTTTTTGGGCAGCTGCCAAAGTTGCTGCCACTGAATCCTCCTCAGTACCCACAGTGGGCTCCAGGCCAGGAATCGGGGGAAATCCTACAATGAGAGATGGTATGGGAAGAGGATGCTGTAGCCTCAGGGTCCTGTCTGACTCTGCCTGGGCATGGCTGGGATGTGAGACTCCCACCAGGTGGAGACAGACACATAAGAAACTCCCCCCCACCCCCCAGAGGCTCAGAGACCTTCTCCTAGAGCCCGTAGGCCAAGGCCCACTCACCTGGAGGAACAGGCAACTCAGCAAAGTCCACTTTACGTCCTGCTCGGTGTGCTCGAATGGCATCTTGATATTGCTGTATGGGAACAAAGGTAGGGACCTCTGGTCCATGGCTACCAAGGGGCAGGAACAGGAAAACTGAGAGAAAGAAGGCTCTTGCCAAGGCAGCAAGAGCTCCAAAAAGGACAGATGAAAACTCAAAGACGACCAGGGATAGCAGAAACAGCAGGGAGAAAGAAAGCAATCAGCCAGGAGAAGAGGCCAGCATAGGTCAGGGAGCTACCCAGCTGCAGGCCCACCTTGGCAATGCGCTCATGCATCCGGGCCTTGCGCTCATCCCCACTGGCCCGGGCCTGGATGCCTGCCTCACGATACTTGTTCAGCCTTTGCTGCAGGGCATCCAACACTGTCTGCGGCTCTGCAGGGGCCACTTTAAGAGGGTAAGGAGAGGACATGAGTTCTGCCTGTCCCTCCCCAGATCCCCGTGGCCTCCACTTCTGTCCCACCATCCTGTCCTACCTGAAGCTGCTGGGATGTTGGGGGTTGTCACTGGGAGCACTCTCTCCACTGCTGGGGGTAGGACTGAGGGTGCTGTGGGGGCTTTGGAAGCCTCTGGGAGGGTCTTCAGGTCTGGGGACCCAGAGCAGAAGTGAAGGCAGAGGTGCCTGGCTGGTCCCACACCTAATATTCCTCCCTAACCCCAGCTTCAGCCCGTAATTCCCACACTAACCCTCAGGTGCTGGGGGCATGGCACTCAGATCCACAGGCTGCCCCTTCTCCAGGGCCTCCAGGACAGCACCAAATCTCTATAGTAGTGAAAAAAGCAGGTGTGGATGTAAACCAGGTGACCCCAGGAGTCTGGGTTAAAATAGCTCCCCCTTAGGCCAGTCTGGCCCAAGTGTAGCCTGGGTCTCTCTCTCGCTCGCTCACTCTCTCTGAGCTTCCACTTCCCTATCTGTGAAATGAAGGATGGACACAGTGCCTTGGAGTTAGATGTCATACCTTCCCAATCCTCATGAGCTCACGTGCACGATCTAGATCTCCAGCCCGCTTGGCACTGAGAGCAGCCACTTTATACGCTCTCTGTCGGGCTGACAGCAGGGCCCGTGGGTGTGGGTCTGAATCAGGCAGGACAGCAATGCCAGGGCTGTGCAGGAGGCTGGTTTCAGATTGGGAGGGGTTGTCTATAACAGAAAGCCCCCAGAAAGTTGAGTGTGGGTGGCACATGCCTGTAATCCTAGTGACTTTGGAGCCTGAGGATTACAACTTCAAGGCTAGCCCAAGAAACTTAATAAGAGCCTGTCTAAGAATAAGAAGGGCCAGGGAGGGATGTAGCTCAGTGGTAGAACACCTGCCTAGTATGAGTGAGGCCCTGGGTTCAATCTCCACTACTGCCAAAAATAAATATACAAGTAAAGCCCCCAGAGAAGGCACAAGGGTCAAAGGAGAAGGTTCCAACTTTGGGTTCCCAGTGCCCAAAGGTCTCTACTGGCTTGAGGGCCACTTGGGGAAGGTGTGACTGAGCAATGGGCAAGTGGCAGGCTGGGTAGACAGGCCATGGGCTCTGACCCAAGGAACTAGGAAAGAATTTGAGTAACTCCAGATACCTGGCTCCATGGCAGGGGGAACTTGGGAGTCAGCCTCAGGGCTCCTGCTGGCTGTTTCCTGGGAGGCTGGGGGCCTCTTGCCCAAGGCCACTGGAGGTGGGATCTCATCCTCATTGATCTTCCTTCCTTTCCTTACGGCAACTAGCTGGGACTCCAGAGTCTGAGGGAGAAAACCAGTCAGAAACACAGGAAGCCATCTTGGCTTGGACTCTGCTCTAGCACAGGCCAATGCATCACCTCTATAGAGCTCCCCAGCTCTCCTTTCCACCTGGCCAACTCACCTTCAGGCCACGCTCACAGCGTCTGGCTTTGGCTGCTTCACCTGCTTCTTTGGCATTGGCCACAGCCTCCCGATAGTTGTGGATCCGTTCTTCCAGCAAAGCCTGCAGCCCCTGAGGCCCTCCAGCCTGTAGATACTTCAGCTCAGGGCTGGGCCACTCCACAGCCAGCTAGGCCCTTGCCATTCTCTCCCTGTGAGGAAGCTGCCCCAGAAGATGGAGTTCTGGGACTCCAGGAGAAAGAAGAGCCTAAAGCCACCAAGGTGTGAGGCAAAAATCCACCAGAGAGGCCACAGGCCATGCCAGAGGCAAACAGAGAAGCCCATCAATGGAGGCCAAGAATGGCTGTGGGGGGTGGTGGTCTGGGAAAACAGAAAGGCCTTTGAGGTTGGCCAGCCACAGAGGAGTTTTTCATGCTCAGAATCTGTCTGGGGGCAGCTGCCGGAGGAAGGCAATAACAAGCCATGCTACAGTAAGAACATCAAAGGCACACAGGGCCCCTCCTCAACCTACCTGAGCTGTTGAAACTGAAGTCATTAGGAGGGCTGTCTGCACTGGAGGTTCAATGTCTTCCTGTCCCTTGTCTTCCTGGAATTCTGGGTTAGCTGCCTCATCACCATCCAGGGGCCCAGCTTCCTCATCTGCACCCAGGACCTCCTGCAGCTCAGACTGGGGAGACACACAAGTCCCAGGAGCTTGGGGACCTCATGATCACACCCACAGTACATCTGAGAACAAAGGACCCTTTCTCCCAGTAATATTTCCTAATGTCAGTTTGGTGCGTAATCCTCTTTCCCAAAACATCTCTTTAATCTGACCAAGGATAGTCTTGAAAACAGTGAAGACTTCAAATTTGAGAATATTCAATGGCAGAGTTCAGACTAGAAGTCACAGGAGACAAGTCTCACACTGTATATAGCCAGGAAGACGGCAGAGTAGGGCAGAGCTCTAACTCAAAGTTAGAGATACAGAAGGAATAACCCCAGGCCTCCTCTCCACTGCCCTTTCCTCCATCAGGCCTGAGCATGACTGCAGAGCCCTTGCACACCAGCCTGGCAGACGCACCAACAGGTCTGCATCCTCCTCGAGCCCTTCTTCCTCCTCCTCTTCCTCCACATCCTGCATACAGTCTGCTGCCAACTTCTCGATGTGGGCTATTGGCAGGGGAGCTGGGGAAAGGTTGTAGAGGTCAGGGCAACTCAAACTAAGGTGCACTAAAGAAGGGTCTTTAATCCATTGTACTGGGAGATACCCCAAGCAGAAATCCCTCTTCCCTCCCACAGCAAAGTCTCACCCAGAAAATTGATCAAAAGATCTTTGTCAGGAAACACCTGAGCCCTCCAACAAGTGATATTTAGCTGCCCCTTTCTCTGCATTTCTGCTGGTAGTAAACATACCCATTCATTCCCCCCAACCACACCTTAGGTTTGTAAAGATCTGTGGAGTCCATTTGAGCTTCACAATTCTGAAAGATTAGTATCATCCCCACTTTACATACAGAATAAATGAGGAATTGCTAACATCTATTTAATCCAACTAAGTGGCAGAGCAGGATGCAAACCTAGGCCTGTCTAACTGCAGAGCAAGGGGCTGATCAGTAAGCTCCTTCCCAGTCCTCTCACCATCCTCAGCTCAGGGGAACTTCAGAAGGGGAGTTCTGTGAGCTGAGGGGGTTCTCTGAGGTTCTTGATAAGAAGAGAAGATTTAGACTCCCCGATCCTCCAAGGCCTAAGATCTCTATCCTTGTCCAGGATGTGGAAATTCCACTTGCTCATTTGACACAATTTCTGCGCACTTACTCTGTATCCAGTTCTGTCTGAGGTAACTAGACCCTACTGTATACCAGGCTGGTAGGGTTAAGGATAGTGACCTGAGTCAGATCCACAATTGAGAAAGGGCAGCTCAGGAAGAGGTGAGCTCCCATCACAGCTGTATAACTGACCTCTTGTTAGGAGAGCTGCAGAGGGGAGATGGTTGTCAGAAGGACCAGGGGATCTGGCTGGCTCCTCTAGGCTTAAAGGCAAGGAACTCTCCACCACTGGCCTGTATCCACCTGGTCCTATCAGAGCTTAGCCCAGTGCTGAAAACTTACCCTGCCCCTTGGGTGCTGGCTTCCTGCCTGCGGTCCCTGCTTCCCCAGTGAGGGCCAACAGCTCAGCCTCCAGCTCCTCATCATCTTCAGTTTCATCCACCCCTAGCAGCATGTCTTCAGAGTTGAATTCCACAAAGAGCCCCAGCTGACAGCAGAAAAGTATTCTTAGGAATCTCACAATGAGAAAGGGTAGAGCCAGCCCCAGAGCCAGACCTGGGGCTCCCAGTGTGTCAGTTAGTGGATCCTTCACTCTGTGAGGACCAGTGTGCCACAAAAAGGAAACAGAGGCCTGCAACATTACCCACTTATCTCCACAGGGAGTCTTCAAAGAACTTGGAAGGATTACACTGTCATTATTGTTATTCAGCAATAGCTGCTGGACATTATACTTAACTCTCTATAAGATTGTATCAGTTAATTCTCATAATTCTGAGAGGGAGGTCCTACTTTTTAATTGTAGTAAAACATACAACATGATATTTACCATTCTATTTTTCCTTTTTTTTTTTTTAGTTGTAGGACTCAATATCTTTATTTTATTTATTTATGTGGTGCTGAGGATTGAACCCAGTGCCCCATGCATGCAAGGCAAGCATGATACTTCTGAGCCACAACCCCAGCCCTCTATTTTTAAGTGTAGAGTTCAGTGGTATTAAGTAGTATAGCACTGTACTACTGTCACCATCGTTCATCCACACAACTCTTTATGTTGCAAGACTGAAACTCTGAACCAGTAAGCACTAACTCCCCGTCCTCTCTTCCATTTACCCTCTAGTAACCACCATTCTACTTTCTGTGTCCATAAATTTCAACATTCTAGGTAGATAGGTACTATTTTTATACTTATGTTCATACGAAACTGAGACAGCATCCTAAATGACAAAATCAGAATTTAAATAAAGTCTCCCTTACCTGCCTCCTTTAAGACAATAAAAATAGACTAACAAGTCTCAGGACTTGGATCCAGAAGACTTAAAGGGAGAAAACTGGAAGACAGGCCCTCTTAGTCTCCCATTTTAGCCACAGCCGTGTGTCCCTAGACAGCAAAGTCTTCTTATTGTCCACAGCTTTCCAGCCCTGCATCTCTGGCTGGCAAGCAATGTCATGACCCTAAGGGACCTATGAGGGCACTGAGGTTCTATCAGAGTCCTAAATCTTGGTGACTCTTAACTCTCCTGATAATTTATATGGAGTGGTGATGGTAGGTAGGAGGATGGCTATGCTTGAATCCAGGAGGGGAGTTCAGACCTTCTCTTCCACCTGTGTGGTAGTTCTTTGGACTGACAGGAAAACCACCCAGGTAACCCAATTTGCCCAAGCTGTTCAGAGACCTTCCACCCCAAAGTGACCCAGAGGTGAAGGAGGCCATGTTCATACCTGCTTGGCAGCTGCCACACCCTGACCGCTGGCCTGAAGGCCCTTCCGAGGCCGTGGCCCTGGCATCTTGGCAACCTAGATACCTATCAGGTGGGGAGTTAAAAGAGAATCAGACACACTGGAGTAGACCTGAGCCAAGTTCTGACAGTGGTAAATGTGGTTAGTGAGCCCTCCTGGATGGCAGTACTTTACCCAGGGGGTAAAATACCAATCTTAGAATTACAGGATTGAAATAAGAAACATGGGAGATGGGAGGCTGGGGACCACCTGTCAGTGGGTTTAGTAGGGAGTGTGAACACACAATATAAAGTTACTGAACTGTCTGATGGAAGGCAGATTCAGAGAAGCAACCATGTCTACAAGGTAGGTTTAAGGTTGGGCAGGATTCAGACAGACTCTAAAATAGTGCTATCCATTCTGGAAACAACATGTGGTAGTTTATATTAATTAAAATTAAAAATCCATGCCAGACACATAGCTATATGTGGCTACTGATCACCATTAGACACTTTAAGACATATTAGATACAAAGCATTTTTCACCATGGCAGTTTCTTTGGGCACCTCTGCACCAGAGAAACCTGATTCAGCATTCAGATTCCCTCAGAGCTCCCCCAACAATTCATGGGATCTACACGGCAGATGATGTTGGGCACTGGGAGTAGAGAAGTTAATGTAACCCTCAAGGAACACTCACAGACTTCAGTCTTTAAGGAACATTTACATGGTGTAGACAAACCCATGAATAAAAAAACACCAAACAGGGTGGCTGCAGGTGCCATGGGTGGCTAGAAGTAGCCCTTTATCCAACAGAGAGAAAAGACTTCTTGGAGAAGGCGATGCCTGTGCTGAGTCATGAAGTTAGGGGAAAAGAAAAACATAGGACTCCAGGCATAAGGACAACTTCATAATGGTTCTGGGGTAAGAAAAGGAAACGTTATAAAGGCCTGGTATTACTGGGACATATACCAAACCCTGAGTCCAGAAATGGTATAAGATAGAAATGTGAGTAAGGGGCAAAACCTTTAATCCTAAAGAATCTGAGCGTTATTCTGAAGAGAGGGGGAAAGAAGTGACAGGTTCAGGCCAGTGTTTCAGAAACATCACTATATGCAGTAGGAAAGGTGCACAGGAAGTAGGAAGGAGTGCAGGGCAGGAAATCTGGGTACTGAGCATCCTGCAATAGTCTGTGAAGGCGTGTGGGGGGTGGCAGTGGGGATGCAGAGAAGCGGTTGGAGTCAAGAGTTAAGAGGCAAAATGTACAGGGCTAAGAGGTTAACTGGGTGTGGGCGCATGGGAGCTGGCGTTCTGGAGGACTAACAAGTGTCAGATTTCCGAGACGTGGGTGAATCGCGGGTGTCAACTGAGCAGGGGCTGCGGGAGTGACTCTGGGTTCAGGGGAAAGTCAAAATCGGTCCGACTCTCCAAGTGTGCGGTTTCGGTGCTGGACCCAAGTCCAGAGTCAGTAGAGAGTGCGCAGACAGAGGCGAAGCCCGGGCCCCCCACTCCCACGCGGCTGGGCTCACCGCCGGGCCCGGGCTTGCCCAAGCCGTCTCCATCTCCCCGGTTGTCCCCAGGGCTACCCACGCCAGGGGGCGGGGACGCGGCATACCTCGCGGCGGATCCGAACCAAACCCGAGCCTTCTCCCTCCCGGCACCGCCCTGGCTTCCCGCGGCCCCCGGGAGACGGCAGAGGCAGCAACAGGAAGCGCCCGCCCGGGAGGCGGCTGGCACCCAACACGTGATTTCACAGTCGAGAGATTCGCAGTGCGCATGTGCAAGGCGAAGCGGGCGGGGCGCTCCGCCAGGTGACTCCTAGGGTGGGGTTCGCAATGCGCAGGCGCCTTTGGCCAGGTTGTGAGAGACACTGACGGGAGTGTCGGGCGGTTCCACCCCGGCTTAACTTCCTTCGCAAAAGCAGTAGGCGCACCTCTTCCTTTGTTCAATGACTTCGCCAAACCTTCTCTGTCGTTCTCAGGATCAGGAATTGGGCACTCGCTGGACAGGCCTATACCGCGGACGTCCTCGCCCGGCCCCCACGGTACGAGGAGGCGGGACTTCTGTGCTGGCCACCCTGGTTGTAGACCTTTCTAATCAAGTCTCCGAAGTGGATCTCATAATTCAGCGCCCCCTTTCCATTCAGAAGGCGGGTAGGAACTTCAGAATAAAAGAAGCAAAGCGCATTGCAACTCTGGAAAACACTTTAAAAAGTTTATGGCCATTCATTCCTATCTTCTAATACTATTAGTGATTTCCAGAATTTTCCTGTTTCCTTGGATAAAAGGCTTTTACATCTCATTGTTTTGGGATAACTTCCCAGAGAAGGGACATCATTTTCTTTTTTGGTGTTAGTTTCGAACCCAGGCCCTTCATGTGAGGCGAGTACTCGGTCTCTGTGCGATACTGCACTTAACAGCTCTTTAGCCGACGCTGTCATAGAGCTTGTTACTTCCTGTCTCAGCCTCCAGAGTATGGGGATTACAGGCGTGCACCATTACCCCTGGCTTCATGACTTTAAAATTTTGTTGTTGTTGTAGATAGAAATAAGTAAATAAAATAAAGGTATTGTGTCTATGTGGTACTGAGAAGCAAACCCACTACCTCACACGTGCCAGGTGCCAGGCGTGCGCTCTACCACTGTGCGGCAACCCCAGCCCCTGGCTTCATCAGTTTTGAGATTTCACTTCCGTATTTTTTTTCTCACTCCTTCTAAAGTTTAACATTTTTATAATGGAATGTTTAAGGTATATACAAAGACATACAACATTTCAAGTTTAGTAGAATGCAAACTCCACAAAGGTAAAAAAATTTCCCTATTTCTATTGGGTATCTAGAGCATGGTACACAATAGGCACTCAGTAGTTGCTATTTGTGTGGGACTTAGCATAGCCTCATGGACACTTACTCCAAGTTTTTTCTTAAACCGCAATATGGTTGAGGCCACCTGCACATCTTCAGTACAGTAAACTTATGAGACATCTGCGATCTTGAGAGTGGGGTTTATTGTTCCTGAACATTTCTATTTTTGTATCATACTGCATAATTGGAACTTTTTCTACTCAACCCTGTTTGCAGGGTTCATCCACATATTTTTAGATTTTCCTTTCTGGAGTTCCATAGTATGAAAATGAATTGTCATTTTTTCAATTGCCTGCCATCACAGTGCCATGAACATTCTTGTACCTAACTCATAGTACTTATATGTGAATTTCTCCAGAGTATATTACTAGGAAGGGAATCATAGGATTTCTTACATTTTTCAGATTGTGCTAGAACATTGTTTCAAAAGTTGTCATTACAGTTTCTTATGCCCATCAGTGAAGCATTTGGGTTCCAATTATGCCATATAACTACACACAGTCTTTTTTAAAATACATATATATTGTTTAGTTATAGATGGACAATATCTTTGTTATTTTTTTTTAATGTGGCAGTAGGGAGCAAACTCAGTGCCTCACACATCCTAGGCAAGAGCTCTGCCACCCAGCCACAACTCCAGCCCCTGTGTGGGGGCTGTATATACAGGTTTTTGATGTGAAATGGTTTAAAAAAATATTTTGATACTGATCCTCAGCCAATTATAATAGGCTATATATACATGAGAATATGCTTTCTCCCCAGGAGGGATTGAACCAAAGGATACTTTGCTGCTGTGTTATAGCCCCATCCCTTTCTATTTTTTGCCTAGGCTGACCTTGAACAGAAATTATAGGCCTATGTCCCATACCTGGATTATAATTGTATTTCTTAAATCTAGGACCCAATTAAGGTTTACCCAGTGCATTAGTTCTCGTATCTCTATTCTCCTTTGGTCTTGGATATTTGGGGTTTTTGTTTTGATTTTTCTTTGTGATATTTAAAATGAGTGCAACAATTGCTTTGCAGAATATTTCTCCCTTAATTTAGATTTGTCTGATAGTTCTCTCATCAACAGATTCAGGCCAAACATTTCTGGGTGCGGTTGTTTTTCTCACATAAGGATTTAAATATCAGTTTGTCTTATTTTTAGTTTCCATATAAATATTAGAATTAACTTCCAAAGTAATATAAGAAACTGTGCCAAGACTTGCATCTAGACAACAATTGCATCTCTTTATTCGATTTCTTCCTAGTAACTTAAAATTAATTTGCCAAAATAAGTATTTTATACATGAAGATTTGTTTCTATTGTAAATTTTTTAATGTTATATGTTTTTTAAAAATATATTTCTAGGCATGTTGCTAGAGATCACTTCACCTTTTTGAGCATCAATTTTATTTAAAATAATAAAAACCAGTGACCTCGGACCTATGGTGGAAGGACAGTTTGGTTTTATACTTTGAATGTTTGTATTGACTATAAAGTTCTCAAATATTCTGGAAAAAGCAAATCATTTAACAGAAAATTCGAAAACACATGATAGTCATTTTGTATATTTTACTTCAATAAGTTTAGAAAAAGGAAATGGGGATCTTTAAAAAACAGTTGTCATTTAGAAGGTTTTCACTCCTCTTTCAGCGCATAAAGCACATCATCCTGGCTGACGTTGAGCCGCACGCGAAGGAGCAGGTCGTTCCTGCTGGGCTCCACCAAGAGGAGGCGACAAGAGCCCAGACGGGAACACACAGCCATGGTCTCTGACATGGTTGGGTATGGCAGTCCTTCCATCCTGCACAGGGCCACATGTTGAGTGTATATCTAGATACAAAAAGGACAGGTTAAGAGGAAGGGAAGTCCTGGGTCAGTATCTGACCATTGCTTCCTTGGGAAAATTACAGATACCTGCTGCCCAGGATAACAAATAATCCAGAAGCATTAATGGAGAATGGAATGCCAGCCTGTGAATCAGAAAGCAGCATGCCTGATTCTTGGCTATCATTTGCCTAAACATGCAATACTGGGCAAGTTCACTGTTTTGAGCTTCAGTTTTACTTATAAAACATAATGCACATTCCTTATGGGTTAATAGGTATATGACTATTAACTGTCATTATTACAGAAATAGTCCTGATAGACGTGGTCTGAGTTTCACAACTGAACTGACAACATTTAAGTCATGTATTGCTACATGGGTACTCTATCAGATACAATGAGCAGATGCCAAGGCATGACTCCTGCAAAGCACAAAGGCTCAAAGAGAAAACTGAATAAAGGAATAAAGGGAGGGAGGAGGAAGCTGCAAACACAGATTGCTACCCTAATGCTCCTCACCGGGTCAATCAAGTCAGTAGCATTTATGGTCACTCAATTCTAAATATTTATATTTAGAATATAAATATTCCCTTCTACCAAGACTGGGAATGTAATAAGAGCAAGGATGTTAACCAATTCAGCTTGGGGTTCCAAGCGCACACTACAGTTAATGGCATACTGCAGAGAGATGTTCAGGAAATGGTTAACAAACTAAAATGAAAGTCACTCTTCATAAAAGAACTTTCTCTGGAAGGAGACAATAAAGGGCAAAAATATGATCCATAACTAAATGTTCACAAAACCATTTATTTTTAATACTTTTAAAAATTTTTTGGTACTAGAAGTTGAACACAGGGGTGCTTTATCACTGAGCTATATTCCCAGTTCTTTTTATTTTGAAATAGGATCTCATTAAGTTGAGGTATACTTCAAACTTGCAAACCTCTGCCTCAGCCTCCCAAGTTGCCAGGATTACAGACATGTGCCACTGCACCTAGCCCCAAAAGAATTTATAACTGACCTATTAAAGAAGCTAAAGGGAAAATGTTTTCCTGTTCCCTCTAATATATACTCACACAGATATACATACTCTCATAAAAATCTTTAACAAATACCTACAAAAGTTTTAAGGCAAGAGCCCTAATGATTCTTTTTAGATGATCTAATTCAAACTATGCTCTTCATAGACCAATTTGATGACTGTTTTCAAACATGGCCTCAATCTGAAAGCCTTGTCTCCATTCTAACATAAGCTGTCTAAAGAGTAGTAATTTTGGCTTGTTCATCTCACTTCTTGAATAAAGTTTGGCACATAGTAGGCCTTCAAGTTAATATGCAGAAATCAATTGCTAAAGGCATCTTCTTCTGCAACACAACACAACAGCCCATGAGTTCTAGATTCTATAGCATGGCAGGGTGACTATAGTTTACAATGACCTACTCCACATTTTCATGAAGAACTAGAGTAGAAGATTTTCAAAGGCTCCAAACATCAGGAGGATGGTGAGTTAAAGCCAGCCTCAGCAATTTAGCAAAGCCCTAAGCAACTCAGCAAGACCCTGTCTCTAAAGGACTGGGGATGTGGCTCAGTGGTTAAGCACCCAGATTCAATCAGTACCAAAAAAAAGGGTACAATTATTATGTATAAATTAAAAAGAACAAACTATTTAAAATCACATAAAAATAGGTATTAATCTGGTATTCTTAAGCAAAGTCAGGGTGGCTCAAAATAAAGACAAACTATTATACATTGATTATAATTTTCATCTATTTTTTGAGCCCCAGACTAAAATCTAGAAGGATTTGAGAAAAGAAGATCAACCACCTGTTGAAATGTTGCTTCTTCCAGTCCTGACCGATGGAACTCTGCAAGGATGGCTCTCAGGAAGCCCTGTTCCAGGATGGAGGAATTTCTTAAAGGAAATGAGGAGATGTGAGTTTTCATAAGGTTGCACCACCAACCCCAAGGAAAGCTAAACAAAGCTTCTCTGTCTTTAGAGAGAAGGAGAAACACTGGGAAACTATTTTTTATGTAGTTCAATAAGGTTCCTCCCTTGATAAGTCTCAAACTGATAGAGAAAATACACCACTTTGGAAAAGGGAGAATACAGAAATTAACTGCACCTGGAATTACACTAGCACCTCAAAAACATCCGTGTTCTCATTTCATGAGATGAGTTCAACATGCAGTGAGAAGCCAACTGCTTCCTTCTTGTTCCCATAGTGGTTTTACTCACTAAACTCCTTACAGTAGCTCAGTAAAATGACAGGTATTCACCTGTTGTCTTGGGTTTGTTTCTGCCTCCCTGACTGACCTATGCCCCTAAGAAAAAAAATTATGTCTTTAGTAAAGTAAGTCAAATGAGTTGAAGTTCAGAAAGGAAAGCCAGTTTCCAAAGCCTTCCCAGGCTGTAGACTGCCATTGGTCTTTCAAGGAGATTCAGGGAGCAAACATCTTACTTGATGGCAGTGATATACGATGAGGAGAACATCTCATCCACAGCTTCCATCAAGTGGGCCACAGTGACCAGGCCAGGGGAGTCAGGCTTCTCATGGGAGAACTCGCAGATTTCTGTGGCACGCCTGCAAATGTCTAGGCAACGTCGTGCATCTCCAGAGAGGGCTGCTACCTACAACAGGAACATTTCATTCTGAGGTTCCCCCACATCTCAGCTCAGGAGAATAACCAGCAGATTCTTTTTTTTTTTTTTTTTAATATTTATTTATTTTTTTAGTTTTTCGGCAGACACAACATCTTTGTTTGTATGTGGTGCTGAGGATCGAACCCGGGCTGCACGCATGCCAGGCGAGCGCGCTACTGCTTGAGCCACATCCCCAGCCCCACCAGCAGATTCTTGTTCAGCTGAACAGGAAAAGCAATTCTGAGAATGGACTTCTACACAGTTTAGGACTTAGCCCTGCCTGGAAACCTTGTGGATGTATAGGACTAAATTATTAACATCATACCTGGGACTCTAGTTCTAAGTCCAAACCTTTGTCTTGGTTTTATGGATAATTCCACGATGGAAAAGGTAAAAATTCTCAGCCTTATTTATTATTCAGGGAATTTAGTTAAAAAAAACAAAGAAGAAGAAGAAGACAGAAGACCCTTAACCCCAAGATAATGAACCATCCACAAACACAAGAATTCTTGTTCCTTGCATGGAGAGGGAAGAGTGCCCCCAGAAGCAGCCAGCCAAGGCCAGAGGCTGAGGGGGAGTCTATCTGGAGATAAAGCCAGAAGCTAGCTCCTCTGCAGCATGTGGTTATTTGGGGGGATGGCCCAATCAATGGCTAAGAGAACCAGAATCAAGGGCAGGGGAAGGGAAAAACCCCACAAAGCTGGAGGACCCAGAGGAGTCTGTGGTGAAATGAATCAATCAGACCAACCCTGTCCACAGCTCTGCTGTTGCTCCTTCCTCACTCAAGCAGCGAGGTTGAACGGCTCTGATCCCCCTTCTCAGGAACCCTCTACCCTCTCCCACAATGACTTAAAAGGTCATGTCTCCCAGGAATTTTCAGAATCACCACAGTCTGCAAGGGCCTGTTAGTTTCTATTCCCAGTATTCTCAGCAATCTTCACCATTCATCTGACTACCATCAGACTGCTGGGCAATACCTCTGAAATGATTACCATTTTCCAAAACTCATGATATGCTAAGTTTAAAAAGAAAACTACAAAGGCATATACGTACCCAACACACTAAGACATTAAAACTAATCATTTCTGGAAAGTAGAGTTATAGGTAGTTTTTAATGTTTTGTATAATACCTGTTTTCAGAACTCAAATTTAAGACATTGAAAACAAAAATCATTTTTCTAGGAACCAGGACAACTTATATATCAACTTATATTCTTTTCTTCCTCTAATCTCCAAGTCAATTAGTAAGAATGTCCCCTAGATTTGTCCTCCTTATCACTTTTCTTTACTCCCATCACCATCCCTACCACCTATTGAAACAGCCCAACAGTGGTGAACAGAATGGACAAGAGATGCTAAGAGACCTAAAAACAAAGATAGAGGGGAACATTGGGAGGCAAGAAAACATCCAAAGCAGCTTTCACCCTAAGGATATCTGTGAACATTGGTGATCTTTTAAGGTTCTTTTTTACCATCACTGGTGTGGGGAAGACAAAGACAAAGCTAGGGCCTACCATCATGGACTCTAATGGGAGACCCTCCATGAACCTGGAGCTTGACCTCCACTACAGCCTCAGTGTAAGCATGAATGAGACTCATCACACAGAAGGAATGGCAGGAGAAATTGCCTGTTTTGACATGGGGTGTTAATGAGTGTGGAGTAAAGTAAACTCCCTGTTTTTCTAACTACAAGCCTTCACATGAATTTGGAGCCAAAATTTATGTGGCATCTCCTAAAATCCTCAGTGAAAAATCTTTAAAAAATGGTAACAACTGGTGGTGCCCCTAGGTGATCGCTAGAAGTAAAAACAAATTCTAAATGAACTCTACTTCAACTCAGGTCTCCATTAATTTTCAGAAAAAGGAACAACAGGATAGTAGCAAAAGTAAAATACAGGTCAAGGCATTAAAAAAAGTAAACAAGTCTACACGTGCATCAGAATCAGCAGAAATCAAAATGAGACCTACAAAGAAATAAGTATGCTTCTTTGTACATAAATTAAAAAGCAGTCAATCCTCACAAAAGGAAAGAAAGGAGCATTAGAGGAGTAAAAAACAATATAATATTACAACAATGACAGAGATGGAAAAGTGGTGGTGACTTAGACTGGGGAATCCAAGAGCAAACAGATGCGCAACACAATTTAGAAGTTATATTAAAAATCTTCAAAATGGCTGGGTCCAGTGGCACACCCCTGTAATCCCAGTGGCTCGGGAGTCTGAGACAAGAGGATCTCACATTCAAAGCCAGCCTCAGCAACTTAGCAAGACCCTGTCTCAAAAATAATATTATACAATGTAGCTGCATATTGTTTTGGAGGCTTTAGGAACTATAATAAAGAAAGAAATAATAGAAATATTAGAAAAAAAAATTATACAATTATCTCTTTTGTTCCTCATATGATTGTATATCTAGAAAATCCTACTAAAAAACCACTAGGATTCATCAGGCACAGTGTTGCATGTCAGTAATCCCAGTGGCATGGGAGGCTAAGGCAGGAGGATTACAAATTCAAAGCCAGCCTCAGCAATTTAGCAAGACCATGTCTCAAAATAAAAAGGGCTGGGGATATGGCTCACTGGTTAAGCACAGTGGTTAAACCTGGGTTTAATCCCTGGTACCCAAAAAATAAATAAATAAATAAATATTCAGAATGCTAAAGAAAACCTAAGTATGGTTGCATATACCCATAATCCGGTAATTCCAGGGACGCCAGAGACTGAGGCAGGAGGATGTCAAGTTCAAGGCTAGCCTTGGCAATTTAGCAAGTGGTGGGGTAAGGGAAGGGGGTGCAGAGGGCTAGGGGGTTAGTTCAGTGGTAGAACATTTCAGGGTTCAATCCCCAGTACTCCGGCACTACAAAATAAAACAAAAAGAACAACAAAATCTTCATAATGCTCAGGAGTTAGTAGTACTAGAACTGGAGGTAAAGAGGAACGTTTGGCTAGAAAACAAGAAAACTGGCTGAAAATTAAGAAAAGTTCAGAAAGTTAGGAAAGTAACCTTAAAATGGCCTTGATGAGGAGTCAACAAACTATGTTCCCCAACCACTTGCAAAAGCAAAGTTGGGTGACTCAATACATAGTTATGTTCTACAAAGCCTACAGTGTTTACAACCAGAAAAAGTATGCTGACCCAAGGTCCCTCTCTCATTTCATATTGTTGGGTGCACATTAATGGTGTCACAGAGGGAGCAGTATGAGAAAATTTGGGGCCTTTGCAAGGATAAGGTAAAATCTTGGGGCCTGTCTTGGTCTTATTGCAGGAGAGCAGTGTCCCTTACCCAAAACAGATTATTGCATGCATGCTGAAATCTAAGACGTTTCCCCTCTATGGCACCATTCCATACCCATCACTTCCAGAACACTGCCCTCTTGGCAAGACATGAGAAGCTAGTCTAGGAAACCAGACTACCCTAGTAGGAAAGAATGAATGATTTTGTAACTGTCCCCAGATTTTGATACAGCAAACAAGACCTACTTATGTGGTCAAAGCTCCCCACCAGCTTTTCTGTTTTTTGTTTTTTTTTTTCCTGGAGGGAGGAGAAGAGGCAGGGACAGGATCTCAGTTTATTGGCAGGCCAGCTATTAACTCAAGTGATCCTCCTGCCACAGCTTCCTGTGATGTCAGAACTACAGGCATGTATATAACTCTAATCAGCTACACTTGAATGAACAAATAAGACATCCGAGGAAAGTCACCAACAATGCAAGACAGATACCAAAACCAACCACCAAAAAGTATCTTGGACGGGGGCTGGGGATGTGGCTCAAGCGGTAGCGCGCTCGCCTGGCATGCGTGCGGCCCGGGTTCGATCCTCAGCACCACATACAAACAAAGATGTTGTGTCCGCCGAAAACTAAAAAATAAATATTAAAAAAAAAGTCTTTCTCTTTCTCTCACCCTCTCTTTAAAAAAAAAAAAAAAAAGAAAGAAAGAAAAAGAAAAAAAAAAGCATCTTGGAGGAAAAAGGGAGAAAATAACCTCAAATAAAGATGATTAAAAGGGGGGAGGGGGAAGGATCATTCAGAGGAAAAAAAGTCTGAGAATATGCACAAGAGCAGATATGAATAATTCTACCCATAGAGGGGTCAGGGGTAAACTCTGAGGAACTCTTTTCCAAAATGCACAGCTTGGAGTCAGACATCATGCATGCTCACCTAAACCAAGCACCTGATTCAGGACCTAGTTCCAAGTAGGAGACACTGGCATGTGCTGCTGCTGTAGCCACTCAAGGTTCAGATAATTTTGGGCAAAACAAAACTAGAAATAACTCTATGATTCTTTTAAGTGCTGAAATATTTATAGATGTATGGTCTTTTTCTTTGAGCTTAAAGCAGATATTTGGCCCACTTTGTTATCAGCAGCCTGAGAACAGTCTGTGGTTGAATGTAAGTTGGCATTCTCCTCGAGAGCTTGGATATCCAACAACTCACATCTCCTAGAGTGTGTGCTTTGCTGCAAGTCACAGTCAGGATCTCATCTTATTCTCCCAATGACCTTGTGATGTAACTATTATCATTCCCATTTTTCAGAGATGAAAATGGAAGCTCTTAGTAAGTTTCCTACAACTTCCCCCAGGCTTACTAAACTGTTAGAGTCAGAATCCAAGTCAGATTCACCTACCTGACTATACCATCCTTTTAGTTATGAAAAACTGCTTGCTCCCTGAATCAATTAATGTTAGTTTGTATATAATCCCACAATACTCATGGCCTTTTAAGTACTCACACAACAGGAATCGTTAAGAACTTTGTTTCTTTCTTGGTATTTATGTTATAGGACTTCCTAAAGTTTTCTTCATCCCTGGAACACCCAGCACAGAGCCTTTCCCATGGCAGGTGATCAGCAAAGACTTGCTGACTGGTTTGTGGGTACACCTAGGAGCTCCCCAAAGTAACTTACCTTCCTGGCTACCAGCTGGATGGCATCATCCTCAAAGGCCTTTAAATGCTTCAGTCGGGACATTAGGATCTGCTGCAGCTGGCTGTGAGTATAAGGCTGGAAGGACAACCTGGTAAGGCCCTGGGGAGCAAAGAAGACAGGGGAGCAAACTCATTGACTGCCCATTGATTGTGCAGGTGGAAAATCACTCTCAGAACTCCAAACCTAAATCCCAAGCCCACACAACAATTTACACATTTCCTCCCAGGACTACTGCTGCTTCCTGCTACTGTCATTACTGACAATGGCCAATGGTATCCTATAGTGCAGTAGTTCTCAAACTACTTTTTTGTTTTGTTTAAGATCCACTTATTGTAACAGAATCATTTGGAAATAGGTAGATGCAGAGGTGGTTCACTCCATGTGGCCAGGAGGATCAGAGAACCTAAGCTATGCACTGCACAGCCTGGGGCATCCCTTATCATGCTCTTATAATGTGACATTGTGCTTCCTGCTGACCTGCAAAGCCCAGAGAGAGTGTGAATCTACCTGGCTCATTCTTCTACTTCAAGTACCTAACAGGTGTCAGGTGGTAAGTGCTTAGTTATTGTTAAAAATAAACTCTAGGACTATATACAGTTTAAAAGTAAACAAGTGAGATGTGGTTGCAAAGGCCTATAAACCCTGAGGCAGGAGGATCCCAAGTTTGAGGCAGCTTGGGAAACTTAGACCCTGCCTCAAAATAAAATAAAAATGGGTAGGGATATAGTTCAGTGGTAAAGTGCCCCTGTGTTCAATCCCAGATACTGCAAAAACAAACAAAAAACTGCACAGGTCAGCAGAATGTCAAGAAATGATATTTGTAGAAAATCATGCAATGGCCTTTCATTCGGACATAGAAATTATAAGACTAGCAAAAACTATATTTCTTGACTTTTTGTAAGAACATTCTGAGAACTACCTTGGACCTACCAGTCGGCTTGACACCCGGTTCATCATGATCCGCTCAGGCAGATCCATGGTGTTGGCAATGGCCAGGACTACCAGTTGGGCCTCCTTATGAGTGGGCCAGTCAAAGAGATTGTACATTATGTCTTGTTTGTGAGTCCACAGAAGGTCAAGCTACCAGGGAAAAGGACACAGACACGGGGGTTCATTAGAGAGTCAGGATCCTAGAGTGAAGATCTATGACACTCTTTAGTTGCCCAGGTCACACCAGCAAAACAGCAAACAAGTCAATGAACAGGCCTAGATGAATGCAAAAGGGATCTAGCACTTTCTCCCAGCCAGCACTTGCTTGTGGGACATCATAGTTAAATACTGCCCAATTCTTCTCCAGTCCTCCCAGGGGCACCTCACCTCATCCACAAGCAGAACAGTAGTTTCCTGAGGGGACCTGCCAGTGCAGAATCGCTTGGCTAGCAGTTCTGCAGCATGGTTTGCTGTTGCCTTCTGGCCTGTCAGCTTCTGCATTGAGGAAAAATATGTGGTCAATGGTAAGGATTTTATTCCCCTGGGATAATACAATTCTTTAAAAAACAGGAAGCTATTTAGTCCAAGGACTTCAGTGTACTATTCTCTGCCTTCCATTTTAGTCTTAACCGTAAACTGAAAGGATAGGAAAAGGCACTAGGAAAAGGCATCAAAGAAGATAAAAACTGTGTGTTTAATATGCAAACAAGTGCCAGTCTCAGTGCCAAATGCCTGTAATCCCAGTGGCTTGGGAGGCTGAGGCAGGAGGTTTGCAGGTTTAACGCCAGCCTTAGCAACTTAGCGAGGCCTTGTTTCAAAATGAAAAAAGGCCCGGGATGTGGCTCAGTAAATAAGTCTCCTGGGTACAATCCCTGGTGCTAAAAAAAAAAAAGCAAACGAGTCACACACTGATCTCAGAAGCCCATTGTGCACCATTCTATATGTGGACATTACCTGCTCCAAAGTCACAGCTAATGAACAAGAGTGAGGCCTGAATGATGGACTGCCTCTCATCCCTATTCCATAGCTTGCCATCTACTTCCTCAGAGCTAAAGACTTTCTTCAGGTTTATTCTTTATCCTGCTCCTAATGTTAAGGTACCTGTGGGTAAGCTACCATTGCTACCACTACATGAAGAACGATGCCTGGTACATCATAAACATGAAATACACAAAATTAAGCAAACCTTTCCTTTAACATGTGCCAGTAGGAAACATTATTTTCCATAAAGGCCAGACAGCTTTGCTTACCTGCAAGATTTGCACATAGACTTGGTGGGGCTCTGTCAGTTTCATGCCATTGACCTCAATGTATTGAAAGCGAGGAATATCGTCTGTTTGGGCTGCCTGCTGTAAGCAGCGTATCACCTCATGCACAGTGGCAGTCTTTCCTGTTCCAGGGACCCCAGAGATATACATGCACCTAGGGCAAAAAAGGAATACCAATAGGCTGTCTTTGCTGGCTACCTCACGCTAGGAAGCACTGAGACCCCTAAGATTCCCTGGATGTGGGGACACTTAGGACCATACTTGAAAGCTGGTTGGAGTAGGACCATTAAATCATTCATTCTATAAATAATGCTGTATGCAAACCACCCACCTACAGATGACTAGTTTCATTTTTTTCTGAAAGGCAGAAATCCTACCTTTTTTAGTGTGGTGCTGGGGATTGAACCCAGAGCCTTGTGCATGCGAGGCAAGTACTCTACCAACAGAGCTATATCACCAGTCCAGAAGTCCTACGTTTTCTTTTTTTTAAGATTTTTTTTTTTAATATGGACACAAGAATATTTTAACTTTATTTATTTGCTTTATGTGGTGCTGAGGATCGAACCCAGTGCCTCCCATGTGCAAGGCAAGCACTCTGCTGCTGAGCTATAACCCCAGCCCCAGAAATCCTACTCTTATAGAACAAAATAAAAGCTGCTACAGAAGCTAGGGGTTTCAGCAATGGTTCCCCTTATCCTCCTGACCCTGGGTAAGAAGGCCCTCTTTCCCAGATACTGCCTGCCTCAGCACAACTTACCCTCCAGTACGGTCAAGGAGTTTGCTTTCCACAAAATTGTAGATTCCCTGGAATTCCTGTTCCCGACAAGGAAGAGATTCAGGGACAGCAGAAACATGTAACCTACAATTGGTAGTAAATGGAAGAAAAAGAGGATTTTGGAAGCATCTCACCACCTACTCAATAATAAATGAAAACCACCTGTCTAGCATTCTGTGGGAAAATGGAATCACAAACTCAAGGGGATGCCTTCATTCTCAAATTTCTCCATGGACTTCCTTTCTCAACCAATCACTCCAGTGGATCTCATCTTACAAGAGTTTCTGATTATTTAATTTCTGACAGGGTCCAGGCTTTTGCATTTTGAAAAAGTCCCCATGTGGTTCTAAAGGATACTAAGAGGTACATCTTGACTAATCAGCTCCTGTCCCTGAGAAGATGGTGGCAGTCGACTGGAAGATGACTCCCCCAAGACCCTGTCCATATTAGCTCATCCAGATGCTGCTCGACAGGCTTCCTTCTAAACACACTCACTTTATTCTCTACCATTATTATGTATACCAATGACTGCACACTCCCCTATTTTATGTGAAGCAGAGGCCCCACCCTCCTGCTCCAAAATAGCACTACCTCAGTCGAGCCTCCTCCAGCATGTTGGCTGGCTCTGGGGCCGCCAGGTTTCGACTCCGGATCTGGGGAGTGGCAAGACACAGTGCTCTAGTCTTGGCCTATATTCAAAAAGAACATGATTTAGAAGGAAAAACAAGGGCAAAACACCATCCAGGACACATCACATTGATCAGGTAAAAGAGGAGAAGTGGTGACATCCTGTCTTCCTGGTTGCATAAAGTATCATGACTTGCCCCCTCTACCTCACATTACACACCCACTTTGTCCAAACTTGGTCTGTTTTTCTAATTTACACAGTAAATTAGAAAAGTACACACATAGTATCAGAATCTGGAAACAGTGTTAATCAAGGGGAAAGAATGAAAAAGTATGGATTAAGCTGGTTGTGGTAGCACATGCCTATAACTCCAGCTAACTGGCAGGCTAAAGCAGGAGAATCCCAAGTTGAAGGACAGCTAAGACAACTTAGCAAGAAGCTCTCTCAAAATATAAAAGGGCCAGGGATGTATCTCAGTGGTAGAGCACCCCTGGGTTCAATCCCTACTACCAAAAGAAAAAAAAAGTAGATATATAAGGAAAAAAAAAAAAACACTATTTAAAAACAATTTTCTTGAAAGACAAGAAATTTTAAAAAATCTCAACTACTATGTCAAAGAGAGGAGAGGAGAGGAGCTGTAAATTGGGTTTGAGACCTAAGATCTTTTGTTCAGCCTGTTTAAAAATATGGTTAAGCTTTAGTTCAGGACTTCCACAATCAACAACACAGTTATGGAGCAATCTCATCTGATTTTCCCCCTACAAACCGAGGATCACTGCTCGGGTTCATGTTCTATCTCCTTTTCTCCTTGCTCCTGGCTGGCTAGAGCAGGCCTGCTTCTGTTCCCTCCTTTTTACTGTGGGTGTGCCACTGACAACCATCTCTCCACCTCTGCCTCAGAAAGAAAGCACTTAGACTCTCTGGCTGTTTAAAATCCTATTGGTGGGGGCTGAGGTTGTGGCTCAGTGGTAGAGCGCTTGCCTAGCACGTGATGGCCCTGGGTTCAATCCTCAGCAGCACATAAAAATAAACAAACAAAATAAAGGTATTTGTCCATCTACAACTAAAAAAAATATATTAAAAAAAACAAAACAAAACTATTGGTTATGGAGAAAACAGCAAAGAATAAGAAAACCTGGCTGAGAAGGTAACAAGAAGCCTGAAGGACTTCTGGTGTTCTTTTTTATTATGCTGAAGGTACCCCATAGTCTGTATCCCTTCTTTTTGGTGGGACTCAGGAAATGCAATCATGCCAAAACAAGAGGGAACTGTTGCATGTTTGAGGAACTCCAGGTAAAACAGTCTCCAGACCATATGTAATCTATTGGACTCCCTTCCTTAAGGCTTTTGACTTCAACCCAAGTTCCATCTTAATATGGAAAAAATGACCATCAGCTTTACAAAATGTTGTATTTCTCAACCGTATTCCAAACTATTAAGATGCTCTATAAATTAAACTGTTTTATCCAACAGTTCTGAAACATATCTGAACATAAAATGGTCCTTAACATTTTTAAATGTTCGGCTAAAGTCCCTTAGAAAGCAGAAAAGACAGCCATTTCTCTCTTCTATCTCACTATTATACGGTTCATTATCAACACCTACATGGTGCTCCCAGTTTCTCTGCTATATTGCATTGGACAACAAAACCAACAACATAGCTCATCAGCTCTGGATTCAATTTGCACTGAGCACTAATCACGTGCAAAGCACTCTGCTGGCACTTGCTGGGGGAAACAAAGTTGAGGAGTCAGTTTTTGTACTTTCATCAGGAAGCTTGGCTCTTGGTTATTTGATCCTGGACCTTAAAAGGAACTTGAAATCAAAAATCATTGTGGACTTGATTCATTTTCAGATCTTGGGTTCACTTGGGTACATTCTTCCTTGGACAATTCAAAAGGTATAGCTTTAGATATGACAGACCTGTGCTCAGAATCCAGATTTTACTATGTGATCTCAGCATTTGCAACCTTTAAACTAACGGACCCTTAACTGGAAAATAAACCCTGAAAGACCTTACCACTTTCTTTGGTGTCTTGGAGGGGTTCTGTATGGATGGCTTCGAGGAAGGTCGCAGGTTTCTGGATGCACATCTGGTATTTCTCCTTGGTATACCAGTGAATTCTTCTTCCTCCTCATTGCTTGAGTCTGAATCCTCTGTTTTTGGCAGGAACTCTTTCTCTTCTTGGTCACTTTTATTACTTTCTAAAAACCTGAAAGGTAGGGACATATTATTTTCTCATATTCGGTGTTCAAGCCTAAATAAGAACTCCATAAAAGTCAGTGTGGATTAAGAGGCATTATAGCTTCTCCTGCCACCGGTATCAAAGGATTTGTTCCATTTCTCAGGCACTTGTTTCTGACACATTCTGCTAACAGTGTTATTTATCTCATTAAGGACCTCAACAACTTTGTGATTTGTATATTAATATTCCTACTTTATAGAGGAGAAACTGAGGCTTAGAAAAGTTAAATACCTAACCAAATTTCACTGGTTCAAAACCTCAAATTCAAATCAAGGTCTATCAGAATCAAACTTCATGCTTTTGAGCATTCCACACCATCAGCAGAGTTGCCGGCAATGCTGGTTATGGGACAATGGGAGGTAGTGCAGTGTTTCTTGTCCCTTTCATAATATGACATTTATGTGGAACTTACCAAAATTCCAGATATGCTATCAACAAATCCACAAATACCAAACAATAGAAAAGGCATTAAAGGATAAGGTCATGGATGTCCTTCAACATTTATGCTTTTTTTGCTACCCAAGGGCAGTCTTACCGTAGCTGCTTCCTAATTTGATTCAAAGTCAAGAGAAAACTCCGTCTTCGGACTCGATGGGAAGTAGTGGTAGCTTGATTTTGAGCTTTTGGTTCCTTTACCTTCCTGTAAGATATCACAGCAAAGTTATGGGAAACAGTTTTGGGAAACAGGCACTAGAAGACAGTCAGGTGAACTGCCTCTTATTCTTTTTCAGCTATCTTGGAAAGAGTTAATCACATTTTACTAAAAAATGTATAAATGAAACTGAACTCAAACTCAGGGATAAAAGTTTGCCTAAATCTTATCATTTAGATCCAACTTGTCACCTCCCAACTATAGACCAGAACATAGTAATCCCAGTTTCATCTTTTTGTTTCTGATATATTCATGAATTTACTCTGCACCCAGGTTCAAGGTCAGCAGAAATGCATATATATATATATATATATATATATATATATATATAGCATTTATTGTGCAACTTATTGTGAATTAGGTGTTGGAAGTTTCTATTCAGGAAACACTAATATGTAATTTCTAGCTGGTCACGTTTTCATTTGTACAGTTCATCTACAAATATTATCTAGTGTCAACTTTCAAAGTTTGTTCTAGATGTATTATCTTCTGTTATTATATCTGAGAATGGTTTCCGATTTTAAAACACCAACATGGACTGGAGATGTAGCTCAGTGGTAGAGTGTTTACCTAACATGCATATAAGGCCATAGCTTCTATCCCAAACACCAGGAAAAAAAAGAATCCTTAAAATACCAACAAAGTGATTTAAAAATGATTGTGAAAAAGTGGCAAAGAACCAACAGCCACTAATAAAATCCTGAACTATGAGGCAATGCAGGTTTGGGAAACATCTTTCTACCACAATGATCCTCAAATGACAACAGGGCATGTAAGAATCATTCAAAGAACATGTCAAAATACAATCCCAGGGCCCTGTGCTTGAAGCCCAATTCACCAGGTATGAGAAGAGGCTTAGGAATCTATTATGCTCCCTGGTGATTCTGTGACAGATCTACAACCCACTGATCTAAGTTATCTGACTATAACCCACTCATTTTATAAATCACACAAAAGATTTTGATTTGCTCCATGGAACAGGGTAAAGTCTCTGGGTCACCTCTTTTTGATGTTTTCTGGTTTCAGAATCACAGAAGACACCAAGGATCTCTGACCCCCTTTGACAGGAGTAAGTCTTTTCTCCTCACTAATCTGGGTGGTTTTCAAAGCCGGTACTCGGGTTCTCAGGATCAGGCAAAGTTTAGGTGAGGACTTCTTATCATCCTTGGCACAAAAGAGTTGAACCTCTCCAGTTTTCTCTGGGGTTTTCCGAGCTAGAGAAGACATCTCACTTCTATGTGAGCGAGACCTCTTGGTATGTGAGGTAGTTTCAGAGAAGTCCACTTTTCGCTTAGTTCTTCCTGAAGAATCCAAGGAAGCATGTGAAGTCAGCGGGGATATCCTAGTGTTAGGTGTCCTAGGGAAACCTAAGCCCAAGAGACATCATAGATGTGGGAATGTTAGACTTAGCAATATTCACATTCTCAATCTCATTACAACTAAATTCAGTGAAATTATGCAAAGATTTGTTATCCATACTTTGAATTATTCCATGATTTCTTTCTCTTAGTTATGTAGCTCTAATTATTTTCTGACTTCTAAATTTCACTAGCAATTCTCCTGCTTAGCACCATAAGTGATGTTTATTTCTTCATGCTGGGGATTGAACCCAGGCCCCTGTGCGTGTAGCATGCAGTCTACCACTGAGTTATACACCCAACCCCTAAAAAGTCAACATCTTTTTCACCCCCTGGTACTGGGGATTGAATCCATGAGCACTTAGCCATTGAGCCACATCCCTACCCCTTTTTTATTTTGAAACAGTGTCTCACTAAGTTGTGTACGGTCTCACTAATTGCTGAGGCTGGCCTTAAACTTGTGATCCTCCTGCTTCAGCCTCCTGAACTGCAGGGATTACAGCGTGCACCACCATGCCTGGCCTAAAAAGTCAACTTCTTAGCCAGATTTTAAGGATAAATGTTCAGTAATCAAGTTTCCCTGATTGGACCAGAACAGTGGTTCTCAACCAGGAGTGATACTTCACACCCTCTATCCCAACTACATAGCATTTGAAGAAATTTATACTGGTGGTGATATCCCTGAGTAAAAGCGAGGCCCAGATTTTTCTTAACCCAGATTATATCTGCCATTAGAGAAAAAAAGGATTTCTGGGGACAACTATCTGAGATCTGTGAACACACAGATCCATGTGGATTTGCCCCAATTTCACCAGGACCACAGGCATAAACCACCCCAGTCATTTACTCAGACACAACTAAACCGTTAAAAAGTATGTGCCAGCCACCAGAAGGAAAAAAGCGGAATGAGACTCAACCCTGATCCTTATTCAGAGAACACTCTATTCTTACTGGGAAATGACGGTACAAGCATCTATAACATGAAGCAAAATAAGTGTCCTAAATCACCTAGGTACTAATAAAGATGTCTTGTCTTTTGAGACAGACCTTAAGAGAAAGGTAAAATTCCAACAGATGTGAAAAAGGAAGGAGGGGACATGTGAAGAGAACAATGGAAGAACTGCCATGAGTTACAGCAGCAAGGCAGGAAAGCTCTGAGCACAGAGAGCTCACTTGAGTCATGCCCATGGTGTGGGGGACAGGAACTGGCAAGGCTTGAAGAGTGATCTAGTGCCTGTGTGTAAATTGTTATGGAGTCTTTATTCATAATTACTGAAAACTACAATCAATGCAGATGTCCTTACACTGGGAATCACTGTGGTGAAAGGAGTCAGACTCAAAGGCCAGAGACTACGCTTCCAACATATAATATTCTAGAAAAGGCAAACTATAGAGACATTAGCAAACACAGCCGCGGATACCAGAGACTGGGGCAAGGACTGGCTGACTGCAAAGGGGCATAAGAATATTTTGGTGTGAAACTGTTCTACCTCTTGAAAAAGGTGGTTATATGAATCTATGTATCTACATAAAGGCTTAATCTGCCAAAGGCAAGCATCCCTAATCCAAAAATCTGAAATCTACAATGCCACACATTCTGAAACTTTTAAAAGGTTGACATGACACCACAAGTGGAAAGTAGCACACCAGACCTCATGTAATGGGTCACAGGCAAACTGCAGGCACACTACAAGTACTATATAAAACTATCTTCAGTCTAGGCGTATGGAAGGCTTCAACATATGTGAATGTCTAATTATGCATGTGCAATATTCCAAAATCCAAAACACTTCTGGTCCCAAGCTTCAGGTAAGGGATACTCAATCTGTATACACTAAAAAGGGAAATTTTATAGTCTCTAAACTATAACTCAATCAACCTGACTTTAAGGGTTATTTAGGGCCAGATCTTAAAAGTCTTTGAACATGAAACTAAAATTATCCATTTTTTTCCTTTTTTTTTTTTTTTGGTAAATAAGAGAGTAACTCATGTCTAGATTAATACAAATATGTTTCAAAGTCCTGGCCTCCCTCATACCTCATTCCCTGTCTTTCTGTCTCATCCAAAATATTTTCTTCCTCTAATTGTGTAACTGTATCTAAATTCCTTGCCATAACTTTCAAGATCCTATATATTCAACAGTCGAAAAATACTACAATAATTTCTGAAGATGATATTACACATTATTTGTTTTTTCCATTTTTCAAATGTGTTGTATTTATATTCAGCTCCTAAAACATATGCTGTATAAAGAATCCCAAAATACAACTTAGTAGGATCCAGTGGTGCACACTTGTAATCCCAGTGACTCGAGCGGTCAAGGCAGGAAGACTGGAAACTCAAGTTCAGCCTGGGCAATTTAACAAGATCCTGTCTCAAAATAAAAAAATGAAAAGGGCTGGGGATGTGGCTCAATGGTTGAGTATCCCTGGATTCAATCCCTAGTACCACAAAAAAACATATCTGAAATCTGGCAAAATTCAAAAGAATTAATGGCATACAACAAGATAGTCTGAGCTCTCAGAACAGCCACGAAGTAACTTTCAGGCTCACTATAAGGCAAAAAGCAGGTCATAAAAGAATGTATCTGGTGTGCTATCCTATTGGGTAAGAAAGAATGTATGCTCGAGCTGGGGGTGTTGCTTAGTGGTCGAGCACTTGCCTAGCATGTGTGAGGTTCTAGGTTTAATTCTCAGCCCCACATATAAATAAATGAATAAAATAAAGGTCCATTAACAACTAAAATATATATAAAAATAATTTTAAAAAGAATGCACGTTCATATTCATGTACACATGCTTGTGTTATGTATTTAAAATCTGCTAATGTACATAATAAACCAAGAAGTAACAGATTAAATCAGAATGGGAAAAGCCCTAAAATTAAATATAAACAGAAATGAAGAACCAACCTGCATATTACCAACAACAATTTGTTTTTCAGGAGAAAGAAAATTAATCAAAGTGTTTTTACTCATTCCATGGGATATGTTAAAAAGGCATAGAAAACCACAAATAAATTTTTAAGTTTGTGTTTACTTTGGTGGGGGCATTGGTATAGCACTTGTAGAACTATTTTACTATTTTGTGTGTATTAAGATTACTTCAGGAACTAGGATTCTTTCTGAAGGAGAACAGAAATAACGTGGAAGATGAGAAGGTCCCTGTAGTTCAAATTAGAAGTATCAGTATGAATTGAAGAGTATTAACATGTGTATGGCTCCCTAGCTGTTCCACTGAGGACCTAGAAGCAGATCTTCTCTGTTATAGGGCTCTTGAAGAAACAGCTGATTTCAGGGCTCAAAATCACTGAATCATTAGGGAAATGCAAATCAAAACCATAACAATAAGACAATATGGATAAATTTAGAGGACATTACACTAAATGAAATAAGCCAGGCACAAAAATATACTGTATGATTTCATTTATATGATGAATCTAAAAGAAGTTGAATTCATAGAGGTAGACAGCAGAATGATGGTTACCAAAAGCCAAGCAGGTGGGGAGCAAGTGAGTGCGTAGTTTTGGCAAGACGTACAAAGTTTCGGCGAGACACAGGAATGACTTTTGAGATCTACTGAATAGCAATAAATAGCAATAATTCATTGTATATTTCAAAATAACCAATAGCAAATTTCAAACATATCAGAATAATAAATGTTAGGTAAGTGAGATGAAGGACGTATTAGTTAGCTTGATATAACATGGTTGTACACATAAAACATCACATTTTACCCCATAAATGTAATACGGTTAGTATATCAATGAAAATAATTTGAATTTTTAAAAAAGAAAAACTATCCTCCATGATGAGAGAGCACTTCATATATTTTAGGACAGCTGCTATTAAAAAAAAATCAGAAAATTACAAGCATAGGTGAGTACGTGGTTAAACTGGAACCCTCCCACATTATATGTGGGAACATAAAATGATGTAGCCACTGTATGATAGTTCCTTAAAAAGAAAAGAATTATCATATGATCCAACAATCCCACTTCTGGGATACCCAGGAGTATTGGAAGTAGACTCTTAAGAGATATTTGTCCTATCTGTGCTTACAGCAGTGTTACTACAATAGCCAAAGTGTCCATAGACAGAGGAATGAATAAAACATGATACATACATATAATGGAATATCATTCGGCATTAAAGGAAAGGAAATTCTGACACATATTACAACATGGATGACCCTTGAGAACATACTGGTAAGTAAAATAAACCAGTCACAAAAGGAAAAGTCCTGTGGTTCTACTTATGGGATTATCTAGAGTAGTCAAATTCTTAAAGCCATAAAAGAGAATGGTTTCTAGGGGCTAGAGAAAGGGGGAAGGATTGGAAGTTAGTGTTTAATGGGTACAGAGTTTCAAATTGAAGATGAGGTGTTGTTGCACAATAATGTCAATGTACTCACTACCATTTAAAAATGATAAAAATGGTAAAATTCACATTTTATATATATATAT